AGTCGTAGTCGCAGGTCGCAGTTCGGCCAACCGATGAAGAACAACCGGTGCATGATTATCAATCAAAACGGCAAAGTATGCCTTCGTTGTAATTAGCAGATTTAGTTATATCACTAATAATATACGATGCCCCCTGGGATTGATATGCATATCGTTTTCTTCTGATCCGTAAATGGCCAGTGATGTTCCGCTTTTTGTGCTGTACCACCACCATGTACTCATATACTGTACCACCACCATGAACCACCATGTACTCAGGTGCATTATGAATGTATCTTATGAGTCACACAACACTACGTTTACTACTTACAGTTCGACTTGAACATTTCAGACCTGAAGCACTTCAAAACGAGCTTTGTCAGACCCGGCAAACAAACAGCGAAAAGACGGAACTAAAAAGAGCCCATCGCTTTACTGTGAATGTACCTGTCATCTGCCGATCCTCGTGTGCGCGCGGCTGATCCCTAATAAGTGACGGGTTTCCCATTCAAGGTCGCCCGCTTCGTGTGAGAGCTGTGATCCAGTGTGCGCCCGGAAAAGCCACCCGAACGCCACCTGGACGGTGTTTATTAGTGAGACCGCCAGCCTCGGTGGGCCCGGGGCTGCTGCTGAGCCCCTGGGTGCCGCACATTGGCGTCACGGCGAGGCGCCGCTCTGGCCGCCAGAAGCTGTCACCTGCGGTCATCGCCCGCGAGTCCGATGCCAGCAGGGGCTCGCAGTCGCACTCATGGCGCGAACAGTTGGTTATTGCACCGCCTGCAGTTGTTTTGAAGTAGGACTGAAAGCTGGACTGCATGGTGTTTAATGAAACAGGGGGCTTGCAATGAAGTCAAGGCTTTAATATCGCACCGGATATGCAATGTATCGTTCTGAACTGCATGCCGCTACATGTAAACAAAGCTTTTCGGTCATGGATTCCACCTGTGTCCGCGAAAAGGCTTTATTTGCCGGGCGGACCTTGCCAAGCGTCTGGCTTTACACAGTCCCAAGGTCCAGAGCACAGCAAGGTGCGCAGTAAATGAACGTGCAGAGTTGTCAGCTGACTACACGAAATATCTACCAATGGCACGTCCGCCTCCATGGCGCCCGCGTATTGTTCTGTCCGCCTGTCTTGCGTTTGCCCGGCAAACATTAGCGGGTGTGAGCTTGAATGTGCCGTGCTGGCCAGGAGCTGAAGTGTAAGCTTGAATGCGCTGAATGGGTGCACTGAATACGGCCGACGTAACGCTCCGCCGTCTGAAGCGTGGACGTGTGCTGTTATCGCGAACCACAGTGAGCTGTGTGCGGCTGTGTCACCCGATTCAGAGGCGTGTACCACAGCGCAGCAGGCAGTCAAGTGTACCACAGTGCAGCAGGTAGTCAAGTGTACCACAGTGCAGCAGGCAGTCAAGTGTACCACAGTGCAGCAGGTAGTCAAGTGTACCACAGTGCAGCAGGTAGTCAAGTGTACCACAGTGCAGCAGGTAGTCAAGTGTACCACAGTGCAGCAGGTAGTCAAGTGTACCACAGTGCAGCAGGTAGTCAAGCGTACCACAGTGCAGCAGGTAGTCAAGTGTACCACAGTGCAGCAGGTAGTCAAGGTGCGGTATTGGATCGCCGACACGTGGACCGCACGGGACTGGGCGGTGCAATAGAAGGTCATACGAAACAGGACGGGCGAGGACGACACTGCACCTGGCGTTCAAGACGTGGGACCCACGGCACAAGACGTGGGACCGCGGCACAGCACGGTCAGAACGAGGGCCTTACAGCACAGCACAGTCAGGAAGTGAGGCGCACGGCGTAGAAAGGTCAGGGCATCGGCCTCTCAGCGCAGTACAGCCATAACGTAAGTCTCGCAGCACAGAACAGCAAGGAAGTGAGGCGAACGGCGTAGAAAGTCAGGACATCGGCCTCTCAGCGCAGTGCAGCCATAACGTAAGTCCCACAACACAGAACAGTCAGGTCTTGGATCCCACAGCACAGCATGGGACAATCGCTCCACGGTACAAAACGATAAAACCTTAGATCCCAAAATACAGTACGATCAGGACGTAAGTCCGTAATAGAACGTATTCATATAATGTATTCACAGAATTTGCATGCGCAAAAAGGGACCCTTAGCGTCCATCTGGGGAATAGCGTATACTTTTTCACCTTAAGCATCCTCTTACACTTCTACGCGCACGTACACACCACAATAAACTTTGCACACTAACTCCCTTCCTTACAGACTGAGTCCACACACTAACGCACAAGTGCAACAAAATTCACACACCATCAATAACGCGATGCGATATCATATGGTTTGCAATATCATGTCAGTGATATTGCAGTAACGGCCCCGCCGTGACCCAGGTCCTCGACGCCACCATGTAGTACTCCCCAAACGTCGGCCCACGGTACAGAATGGCCCAGTCGTAGATCCTGCAGAACAGTACGGGTCAGGACGTGGGTCCCACTGTGCAGTAATGCCAGGACGTGGGGCCCACAATACAGTACTGTCAGGACGTGGGACCCACAAAACAGTGCTGTCAGGATGTGGGTGCTACATTATAGTGGGGGCGGCCAGGATGTGGGCCCCGCGGCGGGCCACCGGAGACGGCGGCACTGCCCGGCCGGTGGTCGTGTTTGGCGGCACTGCCCGGCCGGTGGTCGTGTTTGGCGGCACTGCCCGGCCGGTGGCCGTGTTTGGCGGCATTTCCCGGCCGGTGGTCGTGTTGGCGACATTGCCCGGCCGTTGGTCGTGTTTGATGGCGATGCCCGACCGGTGGTCCTGTTTGATGGCACTGCCCGGCCGGTGGTCGTGTTTGATGGCGATGCCCGGCCAGTGGTCCTGTTTGATGGCACTGCCCGGCCGGTGGCCGTGTTTGGCGGCATTGCCCGGCCGGTGGCCGTGTTTGGCGGCATTGCCCGGCCGGTGGTCGTGTTTGATGGCGATGCCCAGCCGGTGGTCCTGTTTGATGGCACTGCCCGGCCGGTGGTCGTGTTTGGCGTCTCTGCCCGGCCTGTGGCCGTGTTTGGCGGCACTTCCCGGCCCGTGGTCGTATGTTGTCAATGGAGCGCCCATCACCCAATTGCAGCGATCAGCAGTGCGAGCCGGTGGCGCCATCCGTTGTGCGGTGGCCAGCCGGCCGGGGCGGTGTGGAGTCGCCGGAACAGACGACTAGGCGCCACTGTCTGGTCACGAGGCGCGGGATATCGTGTGAGACGCTGTTGTCTGGTCTCATGACACGGGACAGGGTGTGAGGCGCTGCTGTCTGGTCTCGTGGCACGGGACAGGGTGTGAGGCACCGCTGTCTGGCCACGCGGCGCAGGAAAGGGGATGAGGCGCCGCTGTCTGATCACGCAGCGCGGGACAGGGGATGAGGTGCCGCTGTCTGGTCACGCAGCGCGGGACAGGGGATGAGGTGCCGCTGTCTGGTCACGAGGCGCGGAACAGGGTGTGAGGTGCTGCTGTCTGGTCACGCGGCGCAGAAAGGGGACGATGCGCCACTGTCTGGTCGCGCGGCGCGGGACAGGAGGAGAGGCGCGCTGTCTGGTCACGCGGCGCCGGGCGCTGTGAGTGACGGTCAGCTCTGACACACGCCTCGGAAATGGTCGAGCTGGCGCTGCTGACGCGATCGTGGTCGGTATAAATGGCCCTGACTAGGCTGTCGTCCCGATTTCCAGCATCGCCTTCTGTGGCGCTTAACTGCAAACGCGCGCTGCATTTCCAGCAGGGCATCACCAGTATACATATTTTCAGATTACTTATTGTTGATGAAAGGGAAAAGCAAAATTCTCTCAGGGTAGCGTCCCAGGCTGCTTGAACATGTATTTCATATAAGTCACGGCAGTCGCGTTGCCTGCGTGCGCGGAAAACGTTCGGTGAAGGTCCTGCTTTAACGTGGACGCAATCAGAAAGAATCTAAAAACACATGCAGAGGTCCCAAAAATATTGCGCGTCCTCTTTTTTCCAGCAGCAAGCAAAACACTCTTATCTTAAAATGCAGCTTATTACTCCAGTAAATCCTGAACATCTGAGTAAAGGTCATGTTGCAATGCGTCTTCGGCCACGTCGCTTTGAACCACCACAGTAAATCAAGCCATAATGGAAGTACCAATGGAAATGCGAATGGTATTCGTCTGCGACGGGACCAGTATTAGAACTTGAGTTTTGCCGCATTGTAACAGCGCAATAAGAAGTCTGCTCAGCAAAACCAATATACATATGTAACTTTGATACACATACATGTGTTTAACAAGCACATATGCAAGTGTCGTTATTCATGTTTATATACGCATAGCCAGGCGCGCTAAACGTTTCGCACATCTAATTGATGGCTTTTTCGCTAGGCCCCTTCTTTTTAATTGCACTTGCGCTGGACCTGAAGGACCTCGTACGTCCTCTGCATAATCCGCCCCTGAGCGTGGCCCAGATCAGTCCCGCCGGTGATGCCGCGACCGCTGGTGGAGTTGCGTGGCGGCGAAGGGAGCGGACCCGCGACTGGGCCAGTCCAGTGCATGGGACTATCATTCCCCTCGGATGGCGCGTTCCCGTCAGGTGGTGACAGGGCACTACTCACTGTCGCGCCGCGCAAAAACCCGTCGAGTGTTTGATCGAATGACGCCGCGTTTCGTCTCGCCGTCAGGAAACGAAGCGCGCGCCCTCTGACCTCTCGCGCCGGAACGGGCTCGAGTACCTCACCCACGTCCGGTGTTGGGCAATATGCGTGTTCGCCGATGACTGTTTTCAGCGATGGGTGTGGAATCATCCGGGAATGGGTGCGTTTAACCACAGGTGGCGCCGTTGAGAGGAGCGGGCGGCTCCGTTTCCGCTCGAGGCACGCACGCGCGTGTCGGGGGCAGCGCGGCAGGTGAGGTCGTCTCAGGGCGACCCTGGCGATGCCGGCGACGGCCGGCGGAGAGCGGCGAAGAGCGGCACGGCGGGTCGCCGCGCGACGCCACAAAAACGGCTCGCCGCGATCCTTACAAGGTGACCACTTCCCGCCGTCCGCACAAAACCTCCGCTCACCCACCTTATTCGTCGCCGAAGATGCTGGCGATAGCCGCGCGTTCGCAGTCCGACGGCGGCGTGCGTGGCGACAGAGGGCCGCGTGACGGCCCGTCACCTCTCGCAGCGGCGGCAGCGGTGACCGCGCTCAGCCCCGGTCCCGGTCCGGACGCCGCTGCGGATCGGGCTGGACACAGCGGCGGCGCGCGCGCGGCGGACGACGGCCAGACCTCGACTGGCTGGCCGGCCGGCGTGGCGCTGGCATGGGCGCGCGTCGCCGCGCAGCGCCGCGCTCGCCGCCGTCCGGCAAGAGCGGCGCGATCGTCCGCTCGTTTGACGACGAGTGGGGGGAGGGAGGGGCTGTCCGGCGGGGATAGTGGTGTCGCTCATGGCTCAGTGGTTAGTAAGGGCGTGGCGGCGGCGCCAGCCGGCGACTAATTTAATGGAGATTCGGAGCCTCGGATGGCGGCTGGTGACCAACCGGTCGAGGCCGTGTGGCTCGCCAGCGCCCGACGCCAGCGGCGAGCGGAGCAGCCACGTCGAAGGCAGGCAAGCCCTGGAGATGATGAACACTCTGATATGAGGTCTTCCCTCCCATTATTCAAGATATCACAATAGATAGCGAATGATCTACTAGCATCCAATAAGATGAACGTGACAGCATCGTCGCTTGTACCAAGGATGTACGATATGAAGATACCGTTTTCTAAGTTTGGCGTCCCGCATACATGATCGAGACATCCACAGGTATTCTCAGATGCAGTGCAATCAGCACCTTTTTCATTGAGAATTGGGTATGGAGCACAACCCGACTTGATGCAAAGGTCGAACTTGCGTGCACAACATTATTGGAAACCGATGAATTTTTCAGTCAGTTCTCAGGTGCTCAACCGTAGGGTTCATGCGAGTTTTAGCAACACCAAGGACTTCGAGACTCTAGATTTATGAAAAATTTCATCCATGTCCTGGAAAACTTTGTTCACAGGTGGCCTTTCGTTCACAGCTCAATGTTTTGGGCTCCTAAATCATTCACACCAGTGCAGCAAGAGCTCTGGCAGTACAACTGTCTTGCTATCGGCGCCCAAATGAGCCACGCTCATGCGACAAACTCTCATATTGTCTCCAACTTCGCACCGATAAAGGGTGGATACTCATGCTCTGCTACCTCAAACAGAAGAAATATAAACCTAAAGCAGAACAACGTTAGGCAGCCCAAGCATTTCGATGTGGTATTTACGGCGGTTATTTTTAGGTGGTTTCAAGGTAACGATCATTTTAGGCAGTACGTGAGTTTCTAGTGTGAATGCTATTTAACCGTGAAATCGCCAGATATGCCGAGATCTGCAACCCTTGTAAGATGTTCGAGAACATATTGCGTGAAATCATGACAACATATCGCTCGGACATTCATGTAAGATCGCTAATAAAAGCTGGGAGCTCACTCCATTACATTCACGCAGCAATATTTTTTGAATCGTTGCAAGCCATACGTGCTCCTAAAACATCCTGGTCCATTAGCACATGGGACCTAAGAATACTGGTCGGGGAGCATGAAGTAATACCAGTGGGTGTGATGATTGAGATAGCCAGTTGCAACAACGGATAACCACGCAAGAATGCAATAAAAGTAAGCTTAACTTCGCACAAAGTTTCTTTCTGATACGCTCTATCTGTGAGGGACCGCTTATAAGTAACGATATATGTATTTTTCCATCCTTAGCGCGTGCTCGGGTGCGGGGTCAAACTGACCCCCCCCCCCCCCCCCCCGCCGAAGGTTTTCCGGAATGGTTTCCGAACGGCACGGCGCAGCCCCGCCAAATTTTGCATAGCTGTAGACAATTGAATAAAAAATCGTCTGGCATCAAAAACTTAGGTGCACTTTGTACGGTCGCTAACCTAGTGAAGCAGGTGAAAGTCAAGCCGTGGTTTCAGCTAGGGCAATTTGTAGGGAATCGTTTAATCTGATCCAATAACGAACTGTTAGACGAAGTCATACATTTCTGAGGTAAGCTCTTAGGCAATCTCACACAGCAATTGAATGAACAAATAACATTGACCTAAAGTAATGTATGAAGGTCAGACCGAGGTCAAAATCAATCTGTTTTATTACTCAAGGGCCTGTTATATGGGGTAGTTTCTGAGACTCCTGTCGAATTTACAGATGACAGAAACCGCGTAACACACCTTGCAAAGCTTCTTAAAAGTCAAAATAGGCCAATGACCTAGGATGACCCAGGTTTGGTCTTGGGAGCATACAGCCTAGCGTAATCTTTGTCGCTTATCCAAATACAAAACTCCGAGCAGTCTTGGATAATCTTTGTCACCATGACTTTTAAAAGGTCGAATGAGGTCACTGGCCTAAGATCAGTATGTGACCTTTTCTTAAAAACAGTTATCTAGGTTCTAGGGGCCCTTTGGAGACCAACCTGAAATTTACAAGGTCATGACCTAGGAACCTCAAACTTTAACTTAAGTGAGTGCCGGTACAGGTTAATACGCCCTGTGAACTTGGAGTCTCTAGCTCTCTTAGTTCCTGAGGTCTTATGGTTATCAAATTGACCCCCACCCAAGCGAAGGGTATCTAACCGGCTACCCGAGTGCGTGTTGACACCCTGGTACGCACTGGTAACGTTGGGTGGAACTCTCTTTCCCTGGTTACGTTTTTCTAAGCGTGTTGACAATTTTCCCCCTAAATTAAGCAACAGGTACAAAGTGAAAAGGCCGGTGTTGTTATATGATGAGAGGAGGTTGAAAAACACCGGCCTTAAAGAACTAAAAATACCTTTAGAGAAGTTACCACACCTTGCGACCATACCTGGGCATTGCATTACACTGTCAAAAACCATCCCTTTTTACGCGTTGATTACCTTCCATCAAAACCCTCTCTTCATCCAGGCGCAACACATTTCATGGAGGCCTCAAAGCGTTTTTGGTCACTGACCAGAAAAGGCCAGGAACCAGAAATTTCGGCACATGTTGGAAATTGACGCACCATAAGGTTGAGCTTAAAGCCGAAATAAACAAAAGTGCGCATGAGAGGAGAAAATGACTTGAACTAACGCAAAATGTACGAACTCGAGTTTCTTCTCGCATTTGGCCAATTATATTCTCAAATTTTGGGGATAAGAGCCCCTCCCCAGGAAAAGATCAATAGGGAATTTCATTTAATCTAAAAACAATGTTTTGAGTGTGAACACGCAAAGATGTGCACTGTTAGGTGAAATTAGCTGGTACAAAGTTCCGTTTTGTTAACATTTTGGGACATCTCCCCGTTTTTATCTCCCTCATACTCGTGAGTGGTTATATCAGTGAACGTGGCGGTTCTGAACGCTGCCACATTCGTGAACCAGCCTGGCTATGGCGCCGACCAGATCAATAGGGCGCAACGCACGTGTTCACATCTTAATGTTCTGCTAACATGCTGGCCGTACATGCATGCGTCGATAAATAATCAGGCAAAGGATTTTAGTTCTGTTTTGCCTGTGTTACACCGCAATGCAAGGTTTGCAGACCATCCAAACCGTATGCTAAAATAGAATGCCGTTTTTAGGTCAGTGGGGATTTATTGAACACCCAACACTATTAGTGAGTTTATATCTGTCGTCGAAAGTGAGACAATACGGATTTTAGCTCGATATATCAAAAACCACACGCCTTTGATGCCTGCATATATCATAAAGCATTGGTGCAGTGTTTGGGACGGCAGCTAGCAAGTGTCTTCCTTATATCTGGACACACCGACCTAAGTGAACAATGTGACGAAACATGCCAGCGAGCGCAAAGCAAATCTCAGATGGAATGCCAGTCGGATGTGCCGTGGCCGGCGCCGCTCCATGTATGGATGGCTCAGACGAGCCATCTTAGCCTGTCGCGCAGCCCCACCGCAGCGGGCGCGACGCTTCGCCGCTGCCCCCGGCGCCGCGTGCCGCTGCCCACTGGCGCCGCGCGGCGCTGTCCACTGGCGCCGCGTGCCGCTGCCCACTGGCGCCGCGCGCCGCTGCCCACTGGCGCCGCGCGCCGCTGTCCACTGGCGCCGCGTGCCGCTGCCCACTGGCGCCGCGCGCCGCTGTCCACTGGCGCCGCGTGCCGCTGTTCACTGGCGCCGCGCGCCGCTGCCCACTGGCGCCGCGCGCCGCTGTCCATTGGCGCCGCGCGCCGCTGCTCACTGGCGCCGCGCGCCGCTGTTCACTGGCGCCGCGCGCCGCTGCCCACCACCGGCCGCCGAGCGCCACCGGCGACGGGCTTTGTGCGTGCTGCTGCAGGGCTGTCTGGTACGTGAAGGTTTGAGGGGCTTAGTGTTTTTATTTTAGAGCCATCAGTTTGCGCGAAGTGATACCGCATGTGGATGAAAGTTATCACAAGCGAGCGACAGCACCCCCTGCTATCATCGCATAGCATGATACTGCATGTATCATTACTTTGCATGCGGGTTGTGTAAAGGCAGTCTGTGGTTTTGAGATCAGCTGTCAACTGGTGCAGTCACATTGTAGCGCCTCAAATCTTTCTACTGTGATCGCATTGCATAACGTTTGAACGTTTATAACTGTTTTGCATTCTACGTGCATGCAGGTAAGTAAACGGCTCAGAAGTGCATGCATATGAAAAAAAATTTAACATGTGTTATGACAAAACAGACCCTGCGAACCATGGCCCATCTGCGGACGGGCCAAAGCCGACCATGGGTCTGTGGTATCTGAATTCCAAGTGAACTTCATGATGTGTCCCACGCGACAAGTTCTTCAGAACAAAAGATTGACCAAGGTCATTTAAGGTCAGCAACTTCTACCAGCTCGCATAAAGTCAACATCATAAATCAGTGAAGCAGTTTCACGAAATGAGTCAGAAGCTGAACAGTGAGAAATGAGTCAGTTTACCCCCAAATTGCGCTAACAGACAAGTTCCCTCTCCCTCCCGCTCCATTTGGCCCATTTCCCTCTTAAATCTACCGGAAGAGGCTGGTGCCAAAGTTGAGAGGTTGGAGCCCCGAGCTGGATAAAAAACTTCACCCCTGTAATAAATCTGGTAGCGTCTCCGTGATCAAAAACTTCAAAACAAGGATAAAAAGTAAGTCATAAAACAAGCTTACCAGTCAAAAAGCTGTTGAGTATTGACCTTTGTCTCACCTTTATATTTGATCCGTGGTCCATGGAGTTACT